TATCAATTTCAGTGCCTAATTTCAGTGCTGCAAGAAGAACGTAAAGCAGGTCGCGCTCCAGAAGCGCCGCTCGGCGACAGCGCCATAAATTCGCAAGTCAGCGGCTGTCCGCGATGCCCAGGCACAACTCATGACTGTTCATATTTCTGCCATGCCACAGAGTGCCATCTGAATAGTTTCATTTTAAATAATATGCGAATGCACGTCTGGTGTGGTCTGGTGTGGTCATGTGCATGCCGTGCCGCGGCTCTGAACGGCCCATCCGCTGACGCCCTTAAGAAGCACAAAAGAGTGCGTTAAAGGCACACGTAAGTAAGCGATGTGTCACACTATCTCTAAATGTTTAATTCTAAACAGCTTTTAGGGATACGATTATCTGCAATGTCAAGCGTTTGTTATTGTAGCTTATAAAAGGCAAAGCGTGCAGTACGGCGCATGCTGCGAGCGACTCACTTCATTAACACGCATGATCGCATTTATCTAATTTGCTTAAACTAAGCATTCTACAGTATGGTTATATTTTAAAAGCAAGGATTCTGACACACCAACATGCAGTAGATGTTTTACAAAAGTTGCGTGTAAGAGAGAAACATGTCAAACTCATGAAATGTAAGGGCTCATGGAATCAACTTAAAGGACTGTCTTTGACAGCTTGTGACATCATCTGACACATTATTTGAGTTTGTTTACATGGACACCAATACTCTGATTTTAATATGATTAAGACAATACTCTGATCATGAGTCTACTACATAAACCGTGATGTTTGATTATCTTAAAGGGGCCACCGACACAAACTGCAGAGTAAACATTATGCAGGTGACACAGTGATGTTAGTGATCTATGTGCTGTAACGTAATTGGGAATCATGAATGTAACATTCAAAAAGCAACTCATGTAAACACCTGAATCATATTATTGTCTTATTCAGATTAAGGCAAATCATTAGATCAACAATGTCCATGTAAAAGTCACAAGCCCCAAACCCAGAAAAAAAGGTGATTTTGATGACAGCCTTTTTACAGGTTAGTAGTAAGCTAATGTAATGTTAATAGCATAATGCAAATCTTGCATTTATGCTAACAAAACAAATGATAAAAACAAATATATTAATGCAATTCAAATGTATAAAATATGAATTGATGTTTTAATTTTAATTTAGCACCGGTATCGAAAAAACCCAAACGATACCCAACCATAATATTGGGTGACTTTAACTGTTGTTCGACAGTTCACTTTTGCTCATGAACATTTCATTCATGCCCCCTTTACAAACCAGGGTATTACACGCATATGAGTAAGGACCGGTGAAAGAGGGTTATGGAATTTAATAACTAAAGTCAAATGAAAAGAAAAAACCTCCGCATTTTGCGATGTGTGTGCATTGGCTATTACTGACAGTCGCTTGTGCAGAACTTATCAGAAAAGTCCTAAATGACGGTAATAGTTTGATTGCGGTGTCTACTTTAAAAATGTCACTAATATATGCACATTCCAAGTCTTAATTCCATTTCTGTTTAGTTCAGTATGAGTTTAGTGAGATTAAGGTTAGCAAAAATCGCTGTTTATGTGGTGACTCTTTAGTCAAAGTATTGTCTTAATTTTAGCAATTCCTATTAAAGTGTTGGTGTCCATGTAAACGTACTCAATGTTCAATTCAACCACACCATCGGGGCTCTGCGAACTTGATTTGCGAAGCAGCATTATACATCAAAAGCAAGTATGCTATGGCTCACACTTATTGACAGTGGAAGATGATTTACGGTTAATCCTGTCAAGAATCCAACCGCGTTTTCCTCACAGAAACAGGCTCAGCCATCACACTAAATAAGTTAAGCACTTTAAACGCAGCAAGTAATATGTTAATGATGTTTTCACATGTACCGCATGTTTGCGCATTTTGGCTTGGTGAAGTGGGAGCATGTGTGAAACTGGACAAAGTTGGGGGGATACATAGTAGTACCGGACTGAACACAGACACTGGACAGCCTGATTGAACCCAATGCATGAAGTTGTGGACGTGCATTGCAGAGATGGTGCAAATACAAGCATTTAAGTTGTCTTAAGTTGTGTATTTTTCTTTTTTAATACCTTTGGTTTGATGTGACTTGGTCCACTCTCTCACGCTGCTCCAGCGCTGCCTGACGAGGGGTTTTTATTCAGACTACTGCAACATTTGAAACGCAACACTTCACACTTTACTAAATCACATCTGTGTGGATTATGTCAAGACATTACTTTTTCAAGTTGATCAACTCGATCTCTCAAAATGTATGAAGGACAAAAAACCTGCCGTGTAAAAAACCGAGCCAATCTTAGTTTGGTTTGAATACGAAAAGGGGTGAGGGGCTGTAGTAGTGAAAAGTCAAAGTACCCACTCCCATTAAGTCAGCACCGGACCTTGTTGAATCCATGTTTGAAACCCAGTCAGGCAGCATAATACGGAGTGTGAACCAAAGCGCATCAAACACTCTATAATTAAAAAGGGAAAAAAGAAGAATAGAATGAACATATTTTTATATTAGACACACATCTGATGCTTGTATTTGCACCAGCTCTACGTCCACAATTTCACGCATTGGGTTAAATTAGGCTTTACAGTCTCGGTGTTCAGTGCTTTACTTCGGCTGTATCTGTTCAGCTGAGGGAACAGAACCAACCCCGTGAAGTCAGACATGGCGATATTCCAAGATGGTGGCACCCTAGGTTTAAATGCTATAGTAAAACATGCAGTTTTCAGCTAAATGGTTACATTAATCGAATTTGTTTATTATATTTCAATTAAAGTGTACATAATAATGTACACTTGACTGAGTGCTTCATCTCCCCTTTAAAAAAAAAAGTAATTAATGCTTATGTTTTCCACTTTTTTTTCTTCTCTGTTTACCATAGAGTTAATCTGCCTGTATCTGCTTGTGATGTAGAACTTAACATTGTGGTCAGATGTTTTAAAATAAACATTTAAAAGAGATGGTTAAGCCCAAAAATAATTAAAAAAATATTCACCCTCAAGTGGTTACAAACATTTAGTAGTGTTTTGTTTTTTGTTTTGAACATCAAAGAAAATATGTTAAAATGTTGGAAAGCATTGAACATTGACTTTCGTAGCATTTACAGGGTGTCTGCGGGGTTGTAAAAGGTATTAAATAAAATTAGCCAAAGTTAAGGCCATTTTAAAGTAAAGCATAGTTTTTTTAGATACATTTTCAATTTGTGTCAAGTGAAGGCCTTTATTCTAAATTTTGCATGGATTTATTTATAAGTTGAGAGTAGGACCTGAGCGCGGTCACGTGAGGTGGAGTTTGCGCACGCACTGAAACAAACCGCAGGGTAACCGGCTGGCTTGCTGCCAACCATATAGGCGAGCTCGCCTCTGATTCATTAATTAAGTTAAAACATTGAGAAATGCAAGTTTTCGGACCTCAGGTTGGAGGACGCAAGATTTAAAGACTGGCCTAGGCCTCTAGTTGGCAACCGCCGCGAGGCTTATAGCCACGCCTGCAAGAACACGATTAAATTGGTGCTATATCAGCTGTCAATCACTGCTTTCCGCTGCCAGATGACAGGGAGCTTATGTGGAGAATGTGGGAAATGCAAACGGGGGAAGTGTGAAAAGTACCGATGACAGCGATTATGTTGTGAATGTTAATCCGCCAGCCGAGATCAATCGAGTGTTTTCAAAGAAATTGCCTGAATCTTGATGCGTTATTCACTGCTTGTTTAGCGCAAATGTCTGCTAAAAATGTATAATCTAACAAGACACATCATCGCCAAAGAAGCTCGCTTTTACTGAGTTTAAACTGATGTGGCTCATAACAAAGAGCGGTGTTGCGGCGAGAATCCTCGTAAACCCGGTTTCCTGACTCGCCTGCTGTTTTTCCACAAACACAGAAAACTGTAAATGAGCGCATAACGAGACAGCATTTATAATGACACAAACCCAAACAAAACTTTTAAAGAGTGATAAAAGTGAGACTTCCTTTTGTCCATTCTTTCTTGAGATGTATATTATTTTTCTATTTAATATCTGATGACTGCTTTCAGCCTTGAATTGAATGATTTTTTTAATATTTAGTTTGTTTTGTAGCAGAAATATTATATATTATATTGACATGCATATAAAAACAGCAGCACAAAATAAATATTTCTTACTGCAATGCATCATTTTTGTTTGATGCAAACCATAAATTTATTTCTCATAATGTAATAGTCAGACTTTTTATAGCAGATAATTTACATTCAAGCACATTCAAGGCAGCATAATAAGAGAAATGCAATTGATTGTTAGTATTATTGTAATTATCTTCATCATTAATATTTTATAATTATTAGACCTTTGTTTTGGAGTTATTGCATAAATATTAAGTCATCACAGAATTAGTTAGATAGTTGTTTCTGGCTTTTGTCAGTCCTTATTGATGTTGTTTTCAAGTGCAATAAACCCAATAATATACAATTTGCAGTGGTGCTCCTTTTTGGTGGGTGCTACTACATTTTTGTACATTTGCTGCTCAGTGAAGAAACAACCGTAACCCTACCGAACTGTTCTTAGAAGAGCTGCTATTGACGTATAAGACAGTGATTATAAATTATGGATAAAGGCCCACTGACACATTTAGGTAAAGCAGAGGGAGCAATCAAGGTATGTTATCTGCAAAATTCAATTTAGAAAATATATTACATTTACGCCACTACAGTTGCAAGTTGTGCTGGTAGTAATTTTTTTTTGAAGGTATTAAAAAAGGTTGCAAAAGGTATTAAATTCAACTCAAGAAGTTCTGTATATACCCTAATTTAGTTTTCCTACTATGAATGTCAGTGGAATTGGTTTTTTAACATTCTTCAAAATATATTTTTTGGTGTTCAACAGAAACATGTTTGGAAATAGTGTTAAGTAAATGATGGAATTGTCACTTTGAGAATTTTTTTATGCATGTTTTTAAAATCATGTTATTAATTGCTTGTGTTCTTTGTTTTCTTTCTCCTTCTCCCTTTGTCAGGCAGCAATTCCTCCGTGAAGACGTCGGAGAGATCGAGCAGCGGCCGAGAGAAAGAGCGGGCCGAGAAGGGGGCCTCAGGTGAGTCGGGCAGCGGGATGAAGGAATCGACTGGGGAAAAAAGGAAGAGGAGCCGAGCCGTGGAGAAGGTGATGAACTCCAGCAACCCCTCCAGTCCCGGAGGAGCCAAACGCCGCAGGACGTAACCTTAGCCGGCTGCACAAGGACACAGGACATCAGACAGGGAAGAAAAAAAAGACTGACAGAGAAAGGTGTAGCTGATATTGGGCACACTAGAGCCGGCACGAAGGTGAAATGTGTGTGTGCGCGTGTTTTCTGCAGTCTGAGGTTCACAAAGAGACGGTCTTGTGCTTGGAGCATTCTGAGCTGTTCACAGACAGAGACTGCAGAAATATAGTGGAAGGAAAGTCTTTGCTGGTTGTGTAGGATCAGACTACACTTCTGGGAAAAGTAAGTAATATGCTTTCCTACACTGAGTTTGAGACAACACTGCAACCTTTTTTTGTTTTTAAGTGAAAACTGGGGATTTTAAGTGGTAGCTCGATTTTATTTGTATCCGAGCCAGCATTCTTGAAAAGGACCAGAAGATCAACTAGTTTGTTGTGTGATTTTATTAGGACTTACACTGCAAATAAGCTGAGCTTGTTGTTTGTTATTAACTGTAACTATTAGACGGTCATTAAGCAAACGTTTAGGAAACGATGAAGATTTTTTTTTCACTGTTTCTGGGTTAATGATTGTTTGAATGATTGGACCAGTTGTGTACTGAATACATCAGGAGTTAAACCCTGATTAAACAATCTTTGAGAACAATGCTGGACTGATTTGATTTTATTATGTATATATATGTATGTGGTTTCTGCTACATTCATTCTTCTATGGCGTAAAATTTATTCCGGCCACGGCTACAATACACAGGGATGTGATTCTTCCGTTTATGGATTTCCGTATTTTCGTCTGATTTGTGACTTGCACAAATCCGCAGTTTTTTTTTTTGTTTTTATTTGAGGAGGGGGGCTATCGCGAGGTCTATCGTCATCAAATCAGATGACCTGATGGTTTGCCCCTTTAGTGTTCCTCAATGTGCACAAGGAGCAGCAGCAACTGTTTAATTCCAGACATCTCTCATAGATGTAATTGTAGACCTACCTAGGCTGTTGTGTATAATGATATTGTGTAGTTCTATAATGTGTGCGTGTGAGGAAGCCGCTGCTCATGAAATTGCTTTAAATGCGTGCGGGGCTGTGCACACTTCTTTTGCTCTCTCAATGGCATGTCTTGACCACGTGCGGTCTATGTACATTATAAATAAAGCCAGGACGCATATTTGTTGTTATCCTCTGCAAATCATTGGTTTGTTTGTCACTTATTAAGTGCTACAGCCAGGCACCTCAAATTTAATACCTGAAAGTTTAGATGATAGGCTATTTCAAATTTATAAAAATATATTTTATATATAATTAATTAAAACTATTACATTTTTTTTAATAGGAAATATGCTGAAGAAAAGAGAAAGTAAAAGGTAAAGTATATTAGGCTACTCAATTCAACTGGATTTGAATTGTGTTGTACTCGGTCAACTTTACATTATTTTGTACATTGGTTTCCACTTTAATTGAAATATACATTACAAACTTGATTAATGTAACCATTTATAAGAAAACTGCATGTTTAACTATAAGTTATAGACATAGGGCACTGCCATCTTGAAATATTGCTGTGTCTTATGTCACAGGGCTGGTTCAGTTACTTCAGCTGTACAGACACTGTGGAAGTAAAGGACTGAATACGGAGACCCAATAGCCCCTTTCACACAGTGATACCGGTAAATATCCGGAAAATTTCCGGAACGACTTTACCGGTATATTCAAAAAAGCGCTGTTCACACAGGCGAGGACGTTACGGAATTTTTCCGGAAAAGAGCATTCACACATCCATCGCAAAATGACGGTAAATTCTGACATCATTAACCAGAAATGTCCTTTAAACGGCTGCGCTTGTGTTTGTAAACATTTGACTACATTACAAACTCTTTGGATGGATCAGTATTGAGTACAACTCCTATGAAAACATATAGAGGAACACTTTCGCATGTAGAGATGTTCATGATATGTGTGTGTGCTGGCGCTATGGGGGCACACGCAAAGCTTGAAGGTAAACAAACAACGGCTTATCATAAGCATCTCATCGATGATTATTTACACAGTTGGCATTAAGAAGAACATATAAACGTGATCTGACTAACTTCTAGCAGCTAAATGTGTCTGGTAAAATATTCAAAGGCTTTTATTCTCATAAACCGCGCGGACGTAAATGCGTCTGACTGTTGTGATTGGCTAAAGCAGACGTCTCACGTCAGCACGTTCTAGACATGCACGCGCTTATTACGGCAATATTCCTTCTGCATTCACACAGCGCAGCATTCCGGCAAATTGCCGGTAATGTTACAACTTCTCTTTCCGGAAAATAGCCAGAACGAATTTACCGGTATTTTCAAAAAGGACCTGTTCACACATACAACCTTCTGGGTCTGTATGTGTGAAAGGGGCTATTGTTTATATGCATTGGGTTCAAACAGGCTGTCCAGTGTCTGTTCAGTCTGTTAATACAATGTGTGTATGTGTATCTATATCTATCTATCTATCTATCTATATATATATATATATATATATATATATATATATATATATATATATATATATATATATATATATATATATATATATATACATATATATATATACATAAATATATATACATAAATATAAATTAGTGCTGTCAAAATTAGTGCGTTAACGCATGCAATTAATTTGAAATAATTAATACGTTAAAAAAGATTTACGCAGTTGCAGGGTTTTTCTTTTTTTTACTTCCTGTTGTGGTGGACGTGTTCAACATGCAAGAAATATGGATAAGACCAAGGAAGCACTTTTTGAAGGCAAGTTTCAGTATAAAACAATTAGTCGCATCACTAGGCTCTCCAGTTTCATGCAATTTCAGGTGTTTCATTTTTAACTTTCGACTTCTGTTTTAATGTAATTTGATACCGCATGGCGAACGGAAAGAAAAACCTCTGCATTTCGTGACTCAGTGGTCCTTTAAGATAATTAAATTGCTGCTTACACGATAGACTTTTAATAAGAGTACTATCTTAATCATATTAAAATTGGAGTATTGGTGTCTCATGTAAATGTACTCAGAAAGTCTCTAGTGAAGTCGTGAGCTGTCAAAGACAGCGCATTGCTCTGCCTTTCAGCATAAGTCAAGTTTAGTGTGTTTCCTCATTAAACGCAACGAAAGCATATGCTTCGTGTTGTTGTGTCAGAATCCTTGTGAAATACAGCCATACTTTAGAACGCTTAGTTTAAGCAAATTTGATGAACGCGATCATGCGTGTTGAATCTTAAGGGAGTCGCTCCAATGTGTTGTGTGTGTGTGTCTGTCTCAGGCCTGTTGAGAGGTATCAGGGGTTGAGTGAATGACATATCTGAGTAGGGGCATGTGCCTGCTGGACGTACCTGAAGAGCGGTGGGGGTGAGTTGCGTACCTGAAGAGCTAGGAGGGATGCGGTGGAGAGGGGTGTGCAACGTATTCATGGACCGGGCGGGAGATGTGCGATTTCTGGGAGATTATCATTCATTTGCGGGCATCCGGGAGTCTCTGTGCATTTGCGGCATACTCCTAGTCTTAGCAACTGGATAAATGTAAAGGAGGACTAAGCAAAATTGTTTCTACTTTATAATTAATGTTCTCAACTCACAGCAATACAAATACAATGAGTGGAACTGTTTGTATTCGATAGTTTTAGTAATATTATTATTAATTTTCCTATTTCCATGTCTGCAACGACAGTATTTTGGCTTTTTTTATTTTATTTATTTTTATTTTTTGCAGTGCACTTAGAATCCAACTTGGAAATCAATTTTTTTTCTTTATTGGCATTGATTGTTTTAAAATTCAAATAGCATTAATATGCCTATGTTTCAATTTCTGTAATAAATATGGCTATCAAGTCAGGATCTTGATGGTTTATTGTGCATGTTGTTTACATGACGAAATCTGTGTTACAAGTTAAACAAATTTTAATAAACAATTATATTTTGAATTTACATAGTTTTTGTCTTGCATTGACATTAATTTTACATTTAAATAGCCAAAATTACAAGTTTTAGTATTTTAAATGCGATTAATCGCGATTTAATTTTCAAAAAAAAAAAAAATTTAATCGATTGACAGCACTATATATACACACACACATAAATATATACACAGATATACACGTGTGTGTGCGTGTGTGTGTGTGTATGTGTATATATATATATATATATTAATGCTGTCAATCGATAAAAAAAATTAAATAATTAATCGCACCTTTTTTTTAAAAATTAATCGCATTTAAAATACTGAAACTTGTAATTTTGGCTATTTAAATGTAAAATTAATGTAAACGCAAGACAAAAACTATTTAAATTCAACATTTTATCGTTTATTAAAAGATCCTGGCTTGACAGACAGGTTTATTACAGAAATTAAAATAGGCATGTTAGTGCCCTTTGAATTTCAAAACAATCAATACCAATTATTTCCAAGTTGGATTCTAAGTGGAGTGCAAAAAAATGCCAAAATACAGGCATTGAAGATATGAAAATTGGAAAATAATAATAATAATAATAATAAATTATTGAATACAAATAGTTGCACTTATTGTAAAGTTGTATTGCTGTGAGTTGAGAACATTAATTATTAAGTAGAAACAATTTTGCTCAGTCCTCCTTTACATTCATCCAGTTGCTAAGACTAGGAGTATCCCACAAATGCACAGAGACTCCTGGATGCCCGCAAATGAATGATAATCTCCTGAAAATCACGCGTCTCCCGCCTGGTCCTTAAATACGTTGCACACCCGCTCTTCAGGTACGTGGTGTGCAACTCGCCCTCACCGCTCTTCAGGTACGTCACGCGCAACTTACCCCCAACACTCTTCAGGTACGTCTCGTGTACACACGCTCCTACTCAGATACGTCGCTCACTCATCCCCTGACACCCCTCAACGGGCCTGACACAGACACACACAGACAGACACACACAATGTGCTGGAGCGACTCTGTTACAGTCATATGTATATGCCTGTTTGTTTTGCTTGTGTGTGTGCGCTCTCTCTCCTTCTTTTTCTCTCTCCCTCTCTCGCTCGCTTGCTCCCTCCCTCTCTCTCTCTGTCGCAGTATGCCATTCGTCCATGAAGACGTCAATCTCAATTCCACCTTGTGATGTCATCACCTTCACAACCAATCAGCATAGGAGCTCACAGTCTAAAGGGACGCGAGCGGGGAAGCTCGTTCTGATTTTGCTCTGACTTACTTGCTGTCTTTGCTTGCTTTTGTATGTGTTTTTTTTTACACTTTTTATCACGCAGATAACTCCACTGTCTGAACACACTCGTTAAGAAGTGAGTGACACCCGCTGTTAGTTTTTTCCGTATCTTTGGTTAGAAGAGTAGTTTAGTTATAGCGTGTAAATGCTGAAGATGTTTTGTTTGGTTATTTTGTATTAGACAGTTTAGAGGGTAAATATTAGTTAGATTTGGGGTTTTTGTTATTTTGCTTTGATTTATTTGGCGCCACTTAATTCTCATTTCCTCCCCCCCATCCTTAATCTACATTGTTTGGTTTATTTTATGTTGTGAGATCTTGTAAATAATACTTTATTACTTTTTGACTTCCTTTCACTATTGTAAATAAATTCACTTTTTATTTGCAGTTGTCGGTCTGATATTTTGCCACCAACTCGAGACAAAACTTAAAAGTTGTAACATTTATATGGGGGCTCGTCCGGAATCTCTTTTTTATAAAAGAAACCTGAAATTGTGATAATTTTTGTGTTTGTTGGTGGCAATTGGTGTTAAGTTTGTATATTGCATATAACAGATGTATGCGGAAGGGTATCTTGCTGTTTTTTTCGTGTAGTCTGTGGCCCCGTTTACACTAATGCATTTTTGTTTTAAAACGCATAAGTTTTGCTACAGTTACGCCATCCGTCCACACTACGCCGGAGTTCTCGAGCGCCGAAAACGAAGCGTTTTGGAAATGCTGGAGAGGCTGTTTTCATTCTGAAACGCTGCTGCTCTGTCTTAGTGTGGATGAGGAAAAATGGAGACATCTGAAAACGGAGGTGGGACTGCTGAGATTCGCTACCTGATTGAGGCTTTTGTGTCATTGCCTTCGTCACTGTATCCTTCCCTTATCCGCCAAGGCTCTATCACATGACTATAACACATGGCTTTAACGCTACCGGAAGACAGTACTGTAAACAACCACATGGGCACAGAAATGGGAGCGT